TACTTCCGTTTGTTAACTATGCTATAGAGCTCCTAGACGCTGAAGGTCTCACAGATGAAGATATGATACCATCAGAATACATTGAACCAGAGGTCTCTCAGGCCACCTGTGTAGCAGACCCAGAACCAGGTCCTTCAACGACACCAGCAGTAACGTGGACTAGAACAAGAACTTTACCATCAAGACAGTATTGTGGCCACAGGAATTGAGGTGAGGAACCAAGAAACAGTGCATGGTATAGAAGTTACTGAAGGTCAGTTCACGCTGTGGTCTTTAGCAGAGTCCAACCCCATCTCGCAGCCGCTAGAGTTTTACCTTGCAAAGTTCGGAATACCAAGAAGAGTGGCATCACAACTTGTTATGAACTTTACTGTAATTTTGGCATTCTAAAAGACACTTTCATAGAAATTAGCTGCAGCAGCAGCAGACCTTGATAAAGCAGATCCAAGTGCATTAAAGCCAGTGACACTCATCCAAGCATCCAGGTTGTATAACAATTGGAAAACACAAACTGTATGTTCCTGCAAAGGCAGTTGTGTAACTAATTGTTGTCGGTGTAAACGTGCAGGACTTTCTTGCTCAACCTGTCATACTTCAACTGTTGGTGTGTGTCAAAACAGAGGGTGATGTGATCTATGTGGACTTTTGTATTGTAATGTAATGTGCTAATATTGCTACTAAATGTAAATTTTTAACAATATGAACTTACGCGATTTACATTTACATTGTGATGTTACATTGTGCTTATACATTGTGATGTTACATTGTGCTTATATATTGTGATGTTACATTGTGCTTATATATTGTGCTTATACATTGTGCTTATACATTGTGATGTTACATTGTGCTTATACATTGTGATGTTACATTGTGCTTATACATTGTGATGTTACATTGTGCTTATACATTGTGATGTTACATTGTGCTTATACATTGTGATGTTACATTGTGCTTATACATTGTGATGTTACATTGTGCTTATACATTGTGCTTATACATTGTGCTTAGATATTGTGATGTTACATTG